CGAACCTGAGCTGAGGAAAGAAATGGCCCTAATTTGTGATACTGGCAGAAGTGACCTTGAAATAATCTCACCCCGTTTCGTGGCATCTCAGCTCTCAAGCTCTTGAGCTGTGACAGGGAGACAAGAGAGCAGAGTGGCCAGCCCTCAGGCCATGGGGTGGTGCTCATATGTAATACTGACCACCCCCTGGGTTCTATGCTGGTGCACCTGAGGACCACGAGATGTTACTGAATGGAAGAAGGGAAAGAAGTTTCCAAGTAAGGAGTCAAAGGCAGCGTTTCTTGTTTCTCCCTTGCTCTGGCAATAAGGGAAGCGGAACCACTCTTTGCAGTCTTGGTGATTTCTTGTTAAGTACATATATAAATACCAGAGTGTTGAAAGCACATTCTTAATAAAATTATTAATAACTCGGGGTCAGGATGGGAGGAGCCAGCTGATGTGGGATGGTAAGGGTGTGACTCTCTGTGTGTTCCCTATTTCTATGACCAGAGGCTGGCATGCAAAGTGACAGCTGTTAGCCAGCACTGGCTGTGGGACATGGGTTTCTATGCTTTCCAGGCCACTGCCAGGTGCCAACCAACTGAGGACCTGAACCAACTGAGGGCCTGTGTTGGAGCTTGGCATGTCATAGACATGGTACATGCTACTCCCTGCAGGTTAAGGATTTCTTTGAAGTGAATAAACAAAAAGGCACCAATAAAGACAAGTACAGGTGTGTGCATGGTGGCACACAACTGTTATTCCAGTAATTGGGGAGGCAGAGGCAGGTGGATCTACAAAGTGAGTCCAGGACAGCCAAGGCTACACAGAGAAACCATGTCTCAAAAAAAAAAAATAAATTAAATTAAATTAAATAATAAATTAAAATTAAAATAAAATAATAATAAAATAAAATAAAACAAAAAATAAAAAATAAATAAAACAAAACCAACCCGGGTACCTGCATCTTCCACCCCAACTCCATCATTCAGGTTCGTCTGTGGATAACTAGTAGGTTTCCTTGCTGAGAGAGAAATGAGAAGAAATCACTACTCAGTTAAGTAAACCACTAGCAGGATCTTTTCCTCAGAAAAAAGTGCAAATGCCAAAGTTTAAGGTTGGTACTCCGAGAAACACGATTGGCCATTGACTCAGCTTTGGTAAAGCATGTGGTATGAACATGGGTGACCTGCCTGCAAGCCATCAAAAGTGTCTTCCTGGAGCGAGCAGCCTTGCCTAGGAGAGATGGAGCCTTCAGGGAAATGCGCAGGACATCTCTGTACACTGGGGCAACAGCATTCTTGCCAGGGTATACAGCCAGGTCAGGCAAGGTCCCCAGCTCTCAAGCTCACATTCTGACTCTCTGTGCTTACTGCATGGGCCTGTCCTAATCTGTCTTCTTTTGCTGGGATAAACATCAAGACTAAAAGTGTCATCTCACAGCTTCCTGGGAAGTTCAAGGCAGGAACTCCAGGCAGGTACTGGGAGGCAGAAACTGAAGCAGAGACACTGGAGGAACACGGCTTGCCCACTGGCCTGCTCTCCACAGCTTGCTCAGTTTACTTTCTTATACTACCCAGGATCACGTGTCTGGGTTTGCATCACTCATAGTGAGCCAGGCCCTCCCAAACCAATCACTAATCAAGAAAATGCCCCCCCCCCCATTACAGGATAATCTGATGAAGGGATTTTCTCAGATTAGGTACTTTCTTCCCAGGTGACCTGATCACATGTAAAGGTGACAGAAAAAACTAGCACAGGAGCCCAAGGACGAAGCTGATCTCCCAGAAGTGCTGACAACAACACAGACAGCTTGGCCAGGACACAAAAGTAATCTTTAGAGAACCAGTATTTCCCTCTCAACAATTAGGAAATTGGAGACTGATTGTACATTAAGGTTCATGAGTTGGGTTCCTGGGACAGAGCTCTAGGTGAGTGGACAAGCCTGAGTATTTACTTTGCAAAGCTGTTTGCACACAGGATGAGCCTCCTTGGAGATCTGCCGGTTGATTCTTTAGCGTTTTCCTTACATCAAACCTTAACACGGTAGAGGTGCACACTGCCAGATAGTGTAGGAGACATAAGAGCAAAGAAAAAGCTTCATCAGTGAGCTCCTAGAGAGCACACAGACCCTAATCCTCACTTCCCCATCACAGCCACTGAGTTCCTGACTCTCCCAGTCTCCCTCAATTCTAGACTACCTGCCTGCTCGGTGGTTCCCGTTCCATTAGCCTGACTTGGCTCAGGGTACCCCCGTTTCTAACCCAAATGGTGTTCACAGCTGCCCCCTCATGGCCCTCCAACCCATTCTAAACAACACATGAGTGTGAAACTAAATTCTTGGAATATTTTTGTTTAAAATTCTGTAGATTGAGTGATAGAAGTCAGAGATGGAATGCTGTAGATCCAGAGCCAAAATCATCTTGGGCTCTCTTTAGTGCCCCAGTGGCCATTTATCACCTACCTCCTGTCTGACTTAACATCAGTCTATCATGAAAAACACCTGGATTAAATTAACTTAGCCTATCAGTAGCTTCACACTACTGAGGCCTATAACAGAGACCTCCCCACTTTACCAAAATCTGCACATCTGATGTTTCTGCTCCTGGGATTGGAATATGCACTAATTTGACTTTCATTTTTTAACCACAAAACATCATTCATGTAACTGACGTATTGGTGGAATGCATCATTCAGGACATTGTGGATCTGTTCTTGGGCTATGGACAGTGTGACGTGGCTGAGAATAAAGTATTTCACATTTCATTTGTGTGTGGTGAGAGCTTTTTTGTGTGCACAGATCACACCCCTGCTCATTCAGCACCGTTCAGTGAGTTCCCTCAGTATGGAGGAACTCATCTACAGCACTGAGCTCCTTGGAGCCCTCCAGCCAGGATGAAGCTATCGCTGAGGAGAAGAGGCAGGTGAAGAGCACTGGGGTAGGCAGGAGCGCATGTGTACTGTGACCTCTGCAAGTGACAATGGCTGCTACTGCAGGTTGATTGCTTTCAACCTCAAATGTGAAATCCACGTTCCCAAATCCAACTTTTTTGAGCACTGGTATTTTCCACAAGTATAAAGTCTCACGCTTGATATCTCCAGTGACAAGAAACAGTCGAAACCCAGATGTGCTGACAATAACGTATGAAAAAAATTACTTCCAAACTTTGTGTATGGTATGGGTGTATGTGCTTAAGGCACAGGTGAAGCCATGGACTTACGGGGATCTCTTCTGAAGATATTTCATGATGATCATTTTGAAGATATTTCAAAATGCTCTAATTGGAAAACCACTCCCAAGGCCAAAACACTTCCAGCCCCTAACATTTCCAGTAAGGGATCTGAGCCTGTACCAGCACTGGACTGGCCAGGCCAGGCCTTCAACAACCTGGTTTGCAGCTCCCCACCACTGCTGATGTTCTGCAACTATCCAGTCGCTGGGGAGAGCTTGTGGCTCCCAATGCTGATCTCTCACACCTTCAGTCTTACTCACATGGGCAACCTCAGCCAGGGCTCTTACTCCTTGACACCACGCTAAGACTTCAGGTCTCAAATGAGGCCTGTTTTTAATATGAGCACCCCCAATATTCCTGTTCCCTAAAATGGGAGTAGTGTTTCGATTCCTGTATCACCAGGGGCAGTTGCACTGGTCCCCCCCCTTTGCCATCACTACTGCAGCTTACTGTCCTGGGGCCCAGCTGTGGTGAAGACAGATGCATCAGCTGAATCAAGGAACCAGATGAATTCTGTTTCCCTTTGTGGATAGTGATTCTAAGTTACAGGCTGTAATAGATCTGTGTTTGAAGAAAACCAACTAGAGAACTGCACTGGACCGCAACCCTCCTCTTCTTCCAAGCCAAAGCACCCACATGGGTGTGCAGGTCCCACGTCTCATCTTCAGCATGACCTACAAGTACCTGGACTGGTCATGAAGAGAGAGTCCCTGGGTTTCTAGTCTAAGCAGGTCAATGCTCCCACCTAGGTGCCTCCCAGACAAAAGCAAGGTGACTGCTACCTAGGAACTTATTGTGAGGTAGGTGAGGGTAGGTGCAGACTTCAGGTGAGCCTTCAGTGAGTGAAATATTTCCTCTTCTAAGTTTAGAAAGTGTAGGACTGGTGGGTGTTAGCATTAGCTGGGGTTACACCGTGAGAAGCAGGCAGGAAGGGACACCAGGTGATACTGGCTCAGGAGGACTGGGTTTGTGGCCAAAGAGACTGTTTTCCTGCTGTACTTTCTCACCCCTATGGAGGCATGACCATTCTCCTGTGCTTCGAGGGGTCTGGCTGCTGCCGCCTCAGTGTTTCCACAGCTTCCTCGCTGGTTTGGGAGAAATGGCCAAGGCTCCTTGTCTGACACACAAAAACATGTCATGTACCCACAAGGAACATGTCAGCAAGCAGGGTCCTCTCCACCCCCCTGGAGTCACCTCCCCACCCCCTCCCCCTCCTGGAGTCATTGCCAGGGGCTTCCAGGTGTTAGAAACAATCCACACCGTTGTCATCAAGCTCATGAACATTAATTCTCACATCACCTGCCTTTCCTTTAAGTTAACCTCACTAGATTTAGACAAGGAAAATTTAGTAGCTGGCTTTAAATTGCTCTTCAAGCTAGTTTTGAGTTCCTTCACAGTAAGAAATGAAAATGGATTTGGAGAGTACATGGACAATGTATCCCTGTGGTGCATGCACTGACCCCAAAGAGGCCAAACAGTCCATCTTCATTCTGCAGAGATCATTTCATTTCTGTGTCTTCATACCCACAAAGGATCAGGCTTTCCTTTTGGTGCTAGGGATGAAAGATGCAAGGGCTTTACTCTGAGCTACACCTCCAGCTCCGACAACCCCAACAAGTTCTTATTTATCTTTTAGCTATCAGACAATGTGTTACATGCCCCTTCTAGTATGTGCTAGCTGCCTTCTGGAGGGAAGCATGTCTTTTGAGCCAAGACCATGTGCACTGGATCCTCCACAGAAAAAGAATGTGACCTTCCTGTGTCACAGAAGAATACACGGCACATGACTTCAGAGTTGGTGGACTCGCCCTTTAATATCGAAACTGAGTATCTTTTGGTAATTGTTCTACACAGAGAACAGCCACCATGACTAGAACACACACCGAGAGACATGTCTTGAGCTGGAGGACTTAACAGGAGGGCAGGGGGCACACTGCACACTTTCCAGGCGCCGGCTTCCTCCCTTGGTAGTGTTCATGAGAAGTAGTTACTATGGAACAGACAGAGCTCTTGAGGTCGAAGGAACAACCACAACAGTGGAGTTAAGGCAAAGATATTTTCTCTTGCTACAGAGTCTCCATAGTTCTTAATGTATTCCAACATGATTATACATGCATTCAGTTTAAAATGAAAAATAAACAAGTTTACAAATCAATACTGGATTCTTAAAAATAAACGCTACGTCACTTTTGTTTTTGGCAGCACCAGCCTGAACTTTGCAATATTTCAGAAGCTTCAGGTACATTACAGTCTTCTGAGAAAGGCCCAGTACTTCAGAATTCCCGGGGCGGCTGTGGAGAAAGGACATTACTGGCAACAAAAGTTAAGACAGTTGAAAACCTACGGAAATATATGTAGCTGTTCACACATGTGCACACATATTTTGGCTTCACTTGTGACCCTATTGCTTTGTACCTGCTTTTCTTTGCAGTGTCAGAGCCTCACATCTGCCCATGATGCTCTAGCATCTCTCTACATGCTTTCTAGCCAGCACACTTGCACTCCTTTCTGGCTTAAGGCAAACCATTTCAGCTGGAGATGCCACGTTATTAGATACCTTTCCTTTTCTCATTACACACACAGGGCCTGCACATAAACTCACTCTCCCTGAGCCCCCAAAGGCTCACCTTTGACGCCCTCTAAATATACAGGAAGATTGCTGCTTCTCACTCAGTGGCTCTTTTTATGACAGAATTCAGACAAACCTGTTGCAGCATCTTTTTGGGAAGAGGGTGAGTTTTTAGGGAGAGGGTGCATTTTTTCATTTACATGGTTCTGAGTGCTTAACAAATGTGAACTGGTATAAACGATTGGACACTGGACTGTACAGAGCTTCTTGGGGTGCCTGATGCCTCAAGTTTTGAGCTGAGGAACTTTCATGGCCAGAATGTGGGATCTGACACACTAGAAAACCTCATGGAAGCCCAAATTTAAAAAAAATTAAATAGCTCAATGACATAAATATGTCTTTCTCTTTGGTTTCAAAAACAAAAGCAATCATGATTAACATTTTCAATTATAAAGCAGAATTGGCTGGCATACCAAAGAAACTCCAACCTTAGAGAGAGAGAGAGAGAGAGAGAGAGAGAGAGAGAGAGAAATGAAATCAATTTAATGAGGTAGCTGAGGTCAAAGATCAAGCCCACAGCATACACCAATGAGCTCAGTAAATGCTCAGGCATTTAAAAACACAAACTGCTATGATATTTAATAACTGTTCTTTCTTTCCAATTCCTGCAGGTATCTGCAAACCTGAGACGAGGCCCCTGCAACATGAGGCCAGCCAGAGGCTGGAGTCTGTAAAAGCAGACAGGAAGCAGGCCAGACCTCTGGCAAAGTGCTATTGTGGCTCAGGTCCTCCCTGCTACCATGTCACCATGGAAGTCAAAAGACACTGGTCCCACACCGAGCAGGCACCAAGTAGAACTCAGGAATATGAGGTGGTCTGGGAAGTAGAGAGGACTTGAGGCAGCAGGGAGGCCGGGGTCTGGCATACCTAACAAGCCCAAGGCAATGCTTAGAAAGCCCCTCCCGGTCCTATATACATAAGCCTTTCAGGGACCTTTGGAGGGTCCTGCACCGCCCTCTGCACCATCTCAGGTTCTGAACACCACTGCTTCCAGCTGCTCATGCCCTGAGTTCTGCCTGATCACAGGTATAGGCTACTACTTGGTGAGTAGCTTTCCAGACGCCAAGTTCAAACAACTTCCATTCGGAGTTGAACAAAAATGTGGCCATCCCAATTCTGGCAGCAGGGGTTATTATAACGTTCAGCACCATAACGACTGTATTCCCACATGCAAAGACATGTTTACACGTGTACTCTTTCACATCTGTAGGCATATAGGTAGACTCTTACACACATGCATGCACATACACACTCTTACACCCATACAGGAAATACACAGCAGCACAGTGGCATCCCAGGCTCAGCAAGCTCAGGTAGGGCCAAGATTGGGGCGAAGATAGGCAGAGTGAAAAGGCCTTGAGCAGGGCAGGGTAGGGTTGCTTGGGAAGGAGCCCTGAGTGGTCCACCTTGCTGTGACCTCCTTTTGTAGTTTTCACAGGCAGTAGCCAGCATACCAGGTGCGCCAGCACACAGCGCCTGTAGGCAACCCAGATGACCCGTAGCAGGAAGGAAAACACCAGATCTCTCTGTTAGGTCTCTGTTGTGTAGTTATTGTAGGTGAGAGGAGGCAGGGCTGAAAAGTTGCTCCACCGCCTGGTGCTAGGCCGGGGCTCCATGCGCCCTTGCTCTTTATATTTACCCAGAATACTTTTGGCTTCTTCTGCATCCCGCAAAGGGTTCTCTCCATATTCTTCTTTCAGCCACTGCCGATACTGGAAAAAGTTGGACACAAATCCCAAATGTCACACATACACATACACACATGAACTCCCAGTGACTTTTACCACTTCTTAAGCAATGATGAAGTTTCTACTTACAAACACAGAAAAAAAGGTGCATCAAGGGCATCAATCACAGCTTTGTGGTTGGGAACCAAGCTGCAACCACAGAGCACGCAGGAGAAATCACTGTTCCTTCAATGACCTGGGCTCAAGACTTGAAAATCTGCTGAACTATGTATGTACCTACTTAGCAGACTTAGAGCAGTTACTGTCTGCTACTAAGAGATCTAAAATGAATGCAAAAAAAAAAACCAAAAAAAACAAAAAACCCTGTGTTCTTGTGCATTCTGCCTGTGATAGGCCAGGACTGATTCAAAGCATCCAGAGAGAAAACAGGACGGGATGAGGTTTGTAACTCAGAATCATTTCGTAGAAAGGTGACCCTGTTTTACTCCAGCAAAGAACCTAATACATGAGTTACCAAAATTAGTATGGGAAATACCCCCTTTCCACTCTCACCTGGTTGATCATAATTTTAATAGCTTGATGGGTGAGATGAATTTAAAGCAAAAAAGAAAAGAAGAAGAAAACAGGCCAAACTAAGAAATGGTAATTACATCCAAAGGAAGAGAAACATGCTGATATGAAGTACCAGGCACAACAAAACAGGAAAGCACAACATCCGGTGGCTGCAGCACAGGAGCACAAAGGATGCAGGACGACTCTCAGGGATGCAGGAGGAAAGCCATGGACTTTTGTGGGCCTTTTAGTTCCAAGTGCCACAATTCTCAAAGTGCAAGGCATGGCCCAGGGGGGCTGTCTCCATCTGAAGAGTTCCCCAATGACCACTCACCTGGTGCACTTCATGTTTCTCAAACTCCTGTAGCTGCCTTTGGAAGCCCATGTTGGGGTTGGCACAGGACCTCCCTGCACGAACAGTGTGCAAGGCATCTTCCCAGCCAAAGTCGGTGACAGTCATGATGTATGCGATCACCAATGTGACGCTCCTAGAGACCCCAGCCAGGCTGCAGAATCAAGATAGACATATGTTGCAAGGGCAGTTAGGGAACTGCAGATCTACCACTCTAACCATCCTAAGGACCTCATTTTAGAGAGTCTGTCTGTCTTAAGGTTTTCATGGAAGCAGGCAAAGGCTTACCAGATAATTACTCAGAAACATGCCAAGAATTTTCTTCTCCTGCAGATGCTGGAGCACAAGCATTCTATAAACATTTCAGCTTCATTTTCCATGGTTCTTCGATAGGATATGACCTGGTTATTTCCTATTTCCTTGGGCAATAATGTAACTGCAGCACAGTGAGAGGCTTTGGGCTTGCAACAATATCAGTCAACATGAACTAGCAGAAGGCTTCCTGGCTTTCTTAGCTACCACAGATGAAGGCTTAAATCCATGACTTTTAAAGCTCATGAAAGGACTGGGAAGGTAGGTCAATGGGAGAGTACTTTCCTAGCATGCTCAAGGGTCTGAGTACCAATCTTCAACACAGGAAAAAAAAAAGTTCATGAACTACAGAAGCCCTTACCAAATCTTAGCTTCTACATTTGTTTTGATCCTTGGGCCAAGCAGAGCACTATGGCAGGCAGACTGAACACTCCATGCTACAGAGCAATGGCTAGGTTGCTGGCAAGAACGGTTGGTTTGTTGCTTGGTTATCACCATCAAAGAATAATTTGCAAGTTAAAGCTTCCTCAGTGTGCTCTACCAATGACTGAACATAGAAAAGCTCGGAGACTGTCCTGTTTTCTAGAAATTTTCAGATATATACAAATGCATTAAACAGGATTTTTAGACTATCAGCCCTAGAGTATTCTAATGACAACAAGAATAAACTCTCCTCTTAAGCATGTTACCAGAGCTTTATATTAGGAACTTGCAAGGGAATTTTAAACAAATATATTCTCTGAGGCTTGATATAAATTCACCAGGAGCCGGTAGAGCCCTGGGGTTTCAGAATCTCTATCGACTGACTCTAACAGCACTCCCAAGGCACTTTAAAACAAATGTAATGGAAAGCTGAAACAACTAACATTTGTATTGGTTATACTACCAAGTTTTAAAAATAGTATAGAAACAAAGAAAACAAACAAACAAACAAAACAAAAAACCAATACTGCAGATTATTTAATGTATAAACATCAGTCTGTATCATTCTGCAAAATACCATTCTCAAAGCTACTGAAATATCTCCCAGCTTTTCTGCCTTCATGGATTCCTGGCTCACAGCTTTTGGATGTGGATTGTGGCAGGGCTGTCACCAGCATAAGCACCAAGAATTAGCAATTCACATTGCTTGTGCTGCAAGGGTGGGGGCTGTCACTCAGTCAAAAGACTTATGTGTCCAGTTAATTAATGTCACACATCATTCGAGACAGAGGGGATGTGACCAGTCTACATTTCAACGATGGCAGAGCCCTGGCTGGAGAACACTGCAAGCTATTATTATCACTGCCAGTGTAACACCTAGCAAGAACTCAGCAGGTGAAACCAGAGCACTGTACAACACTACACTTACTAATATGCTCGCTTGCCTTTCTTTTCAGTGTGTTAGTGTGTGTTAGTACACTTGTCCTTTCTGTCCATGGGTCACTGGTCCCAGGACTCACTGTGGACACCAAAATCCAAGGTGTTCAAGGTCTTATAAGAAGGGCACAGTACTCAGTACCACCTGTGCTCATCCTCCTGAATTCTCATGCAGCTGTGGCTGACACTATAGCGTATGGCAGTGCAAATGCCAGCTCAACAGCTGTTATCCTATACTGTTTAGGAAATAAGGAAAAGAAAAACATACATGTTTGGTATAGATACAGTTTTCCTGGATATTTTGTATTCATGATTGAAATAACAGATCTGGAACCCATGGATATGGAATTTTGACCTTCCATTTATGATACAAAGAACAGCAGACTGCAGGAGGATCATTGTCAATAAGATATTTAATTCTAAGTCTCCTGGATCTCTCTAAAGTAAAATACTAGAGCTAAGAAAACACAACAAAAGCCCCAACTTGCAGGTGGGAAGGAGTTAGTTTGGTATTACAGAAATGCATCTCTAAGAACCCACAGTTGCTGCCAGAGTGGGCAGGAGGAAGCAAGGCTTTGGAATGGCCACCATGGGATCTGGTATGAGCCTAGCAGGACCAGTTGACACATGAGTAGCTGTTCTAATAAAATGTCAGGCTAGTAATGAGAATGCTTTGTGCTACTAACCTTGCCAACAACCCCTAGAAATCTTAACAGTGACTGAAGCAAAAACCAGTCAGTTTTCTTTCAGCAAAAGGAAATGAGGACCACTATGGAGCAGCACAGCAGTACAATACACACTTGAGATACTGCTCCAGCACCATGCCCACCCACCACCTGCCTGCCTGCCTGCCACCATGTTCCTCGCCAGTGTGGTTATAAACTCTACCTCTCTGGAATTGTGAGTTCCCAATTAAATGCTTCATTTTGTAAGTTGTATTGGTCATGGCATTTCACTACAGCATTAGAAAAGCAACTAAAATAGAAATACATCAGTTAGAAATCAAACTTATGACAATATATCAAACAGAGTAATACATACCAGTGAACAAGACAGCTCTCACCCTGGAGTCGGCACTCATGAATGAATTTAATACTTTCTTTAAAATGTCTTGTCCTGTGCAGACAAAAAGAAAAAAAAAAACAAAACTGAGAAGTGTTTAACATCTGACCAAAAAAAAAAAAAAAAAAAAAAAAATGCTGGGCTTTCGCAAGATGTTTTATTCTCCCCTGTCTAGACCATACTGGGGCCTGGGCTGCCTCAGCTTTAGATGGTCACAAGCATGCTGAGGTTTAGAAAGCCTCCAATCATCAGAAGTTTATCTTCAGGCCATCCCTGAGTCACAAATGATTGCTGTTGATGGACACGTGGAGTTCTTGCTTAGCCTCACACTGCTCCTCACACTGGCTGTAAGCCGTACCGCCAAAGTGGCTCAGATGAGGAAGGGATCCTTGCTGTATGGATTCCCAAGCCCTAGAAGCTGGCTTATTTCTGACATCGTGGAGAGCTTAGAAGCACTGGCTCTAACAGTCTCCTTCCAGAGCTCCCCGGTCAGTCTCAGCACAAAAATGCTATATGCCACTGGGGCTGTGTGGAAAGGACAATTTAGTTTCAACCCCTGCTCTGCCACTTTGTGTAGCCTCGGAAGCATGACTCAAAAAACAAGGATGATGTCTCGCAGAGGAGACATGCTATGATATTGGTATGCTTTGCAAACTCTGCAGTTTGCAACGATGGTGAATGACACAATTCTTTCTTCTGACCCCTATCCCTTTGGGTCACTTCTTTTCTGGTCACTTGTTCATCACACGCCTATTCAGAAGAGCCACTGTCAAGGTCCCAGGTGGTGTGTGTGCCTTGCATCATATGGGAAGAATCTGCACTGCAGTGAGTGGCAAGCAAAGGCTGTGCGGGGCAGGCACAGAACCTTTCACCAAGTGTATTTTACCTTCAGATGGTTCCTAGAGCACGGAAAACACCCGAAGATGCCCATGCATCCAACTCACTCCTCCATAAACAGCAAGTACTGGCCAAGTAACAGGGACGACGACAAGCTGAGAGACAAGTAGTGAGGAATAATTCTTCCAGTAGAATGCCAGGAAAATGAAATGAGTCAGAGCTGGAACCTCAGATGCAGCATAACCAACTAATCCAGCTAGCTCACAGGGGTACTCAGTGCGGTTATGCAGGCAAGAGGCAGGAAACATTTTCATTGAGATGAATGTACATGTAACACACATATTCATGCCTGCCAACAGGTGTCACCACAAGTGGAGATTCCAAGTACACCAACCTACGGTCACCGAATTTCTACAGACATCTCTAGATAGCCTGGCCTAGCCTAGCTTAGCAGTTTTTGATGATTTTCCCAGGAAAAAAGATTCCTAAATGTAAATATAAGGGCTCAGAGAACTGTAAGCATTGTTCTCAAATGGCCAATAGCAGGCACAAACACATCCTTGTTAAAATCTTGCACTTGGCAGTACTAGTACTAAGGAGCCAAATGCATGAACAGGTGGGAGGGGTGGGTGCAATGGAGCAGCTGAAGGAGAACATGTCCTCAGGCATGGCTGCATGTGTTGGAAGGATGCAGCAGGAGGGCAGAGCTTCCCAGGCTACAGCCAAACCAACCATCTGGAGTTTGCTAGGAAGTCACCAACCCAGCTCCAACAACAGCTAAGAAGGCTAGGCTAGGCACACTATTTCAGTTCGGGGCAGCAAAGTTCTGAGAATATTCTACTTCTGCCAGCTGTGGCCACAGAGAAAGAGAAGGCTATGGAAGAGGAGTTCCACAAAGGTCTCCCTTTCTGAGGAAAGGAAAGTGCTCTGTCCAACCTCTAGCATCCAACCAAAGAGCTACAAAAATCTAAGGACTGTATTAGAAGCACAGAACTCAGGGTAAAATCTGCAGGATAGGAAGTCAGGTTCCCACAGGATATGAGAGTTTTGCTGGCTGCCCTGGGACCACGACCAAGCTTCTCACAGCATCTCTCACTGAGACACCATCAAATGGACCAGACAGTCCATTTACAGCCAAATGCAACTAATTCAAGGATTAAAACCCAAGCTGCCTCATCTAGGATACACAGAAGCATCCTGTGATGGCTAGTTTTATGTCAATCTGACACAGGCCAGAGTCAGTTTTGGAAGGAGGAAATCTCAACTGAAAAAACACCCTCACTAAATAGGCCTATGGGCAAACCTGTAGTGCATTTTCTTAATTAATGATTGATGTGGGAGGACCCAGTTACTGTGGTCCTGTGTGTTATCTAAAAGCAGGCTGAGCAAGGCATGAGGCAAGTCAGTAAGCAGCGTTCCTCCATGACCTCTGCATCAGTTTCTGCCCTGACTTCCCAGGATGATGGACCACAAGCTGTAAGATGACATAAACTCTTTCCTCCTGAAGTTACTTTTGGTTGTGGTGTTTTATTACATCAACAGACCCAAGATACGAGGCTGCAGTCTGTCTCATGTCTTATGTCCATCCTCCTTGCAGTACACAGGGGCTGGACTCCAGACCTCAGACTTGACAGGCTATCTGGACTTTAAGATTGCTTCTGACCAGCTAAACATCAGGGAATGGCCAGGTGGTACATTCCTTTGTCCATAAGGGCTGTCCACACTGTGGTTGTCAAGAGTGAGCTGGGGTCCCTCTCCCAGCTGCAGGTCCTAACTTTTGGTTCTTTTTTTTTTTTTTTTCCTGGTTGGGGATCAATTGGTCTATAAGCTAGACCGGGAAAAGAGCACCAGAGCCACAAAAGCAAAACCAGAAAGCAATGAATGAGAACTGGCCAGGTGAAGGAAGCAGCCGTCTGCCTCAGAACATTTTGCAATGAGCACAGTGATGAAAAAGCCTGCTGAGCTCCTCTGAGTACACACAGGACAGTCTTCAGGAAGGGGCTAGGTTTACAGGCTCATTAAGATCTTGCTAAGAGAACAAGTCAATTCCTCTACTGAGGCTTTCCAGGGAGCAACTTCTTACATCTGTTTTTCACACCTACATGTCACAAATTCACACATTATGAAATCAGGCTTCCCATGTACTGTGAGGGAGAACCTGGATTCAAGAGCCAAGTGTATTCTACCTTGTGTATTGCCACACCTGGGCCAAGCAACATACAAAACTGCACTGAGCCCACAGCTGTGTATAAAGGAGCTTTGGGGAGACTGTTCCACCTGCTCCCCCTAATAGCCCATTTGCATGTGACAGATGCTAAATCAAGGAAGACACACAGAATGCTGTTTCTGGCTGCCACTGTGCTGGGGGCAAAGACTATAGAGGCCCAGGGCGGCAGCTGTCTCAGTCTAAGGGCACAATGATGCCCAGGGAGAACATGTAGAACTCCACCATGAGACTTGACTCTGACACAAAATCGGGCATAGGGCCAAGCCAGGCAGACATTCCTAGAAATGCCTTTTACAGGAAAGGCCAAGAGGTGGGCTCACCCAAAGCTGCTCTTGTTTAAAACTGGGTATTACAGAGAGAGGTGTGTGTGGGTTATTTCCAGGGAAAAAAATGACATAAGTCCAAGCTCTGGTCATTAAACTCCCTCCTCCACAGTGGGAAATACCCACAGTCTGGGTTCTTTTGTTTTCTACTAAGGTTTGAAGCAGAAGCACAAATCTGCAGCTCTAACCTACCACATGCTGTTTACATGAACACCAGTTCCCTCTTTGTGCTCTTTGCTTGGTTGGCAGTCACCCTTTACTTCCACAGAGACATGTGTGACAGGCCTGTCTGCAGAAGGAAGTATGCCCACAGGTGTATTACTCACCCAACAGTGCCTATATGATCATATGATCCTATGAGCTACTGCCTACAGCCCTAAGAGAACCTCCGTTGTGCTGGGGAGCTCTGGCAGAGAGATTTCTTCACATGGACTAAGCAGTGGTTGTAAACTGTCCTCTTGCTTCTCAGTGACCAGTACCACAACCACTCCATCTCCATATCAGAGGCTAAGAGTGACCTTGCTGATCTTCTGAGAGTTCAATAAAAGATGGTGGATGGAGAGTATCAGCCACACCACATGACACTCTTATGTGGAGGCTTCTTGCTCTACGACCCACGATCTTAGATGCTGCGATCCCTAATGTGATTGACACAGTCCTTAGGATCAGGACTTTGCTTACTGGAGCAGGAGCCCAGTGACTGGGCCACTTTGAATGGTGGTAGGTCTTACTTTAAGGCAGTGATATCAGACGAGGCTGTGCTGACAGTAAACTACACAGAAAGGTGTTTTTCCTCTCCATCTGAATCCAAGTGTATGCAGAGAAAATCCCAGCAAAGGCAAGCACCTATGGTCCTCCTTCCTTTTAAAAGCAAATAGGTTGAGCACTCTATGTTGGGAGGTTCTTCCTGGGGCTAAATTGGTCCAGATACTCCAGGCTCCCCTCCCCATTTCTCAGCTAGAGCTCTGACGGCAAACTTCCAGCATTAATCACAGACAACTCACATGTGTAACAATCACTCCCAAACTTTATACCCCAAAAACTTTAAGACTCCCAAACCTTATGTCACCATTAAAAAAGAACTGGAGGATGTTCTTGTTTCACCATTCTTTTTATTTTGCTAGGTACATTCATTTGAAAAGACAGTTTCAACAAGAGGAAGACAAAAATTTCTCTTTACCCTTTAACATGGCATCATTTCACAAAAGAATAGTTTAACTCAAGATTTCAAGGACAGTCTGAGATCAGAGGGCTCTTGCGTTAGTGGAATGATGGCTGTTATAGCAAACACGAATTGCACATATTCCAGGGTTCTCATTTACCACATGACGAGGAGAGCATCCCTGAGGAATGCAAAGACCTCAAGAACCATCTGGAGGAAGCACAGCTACAGTGGTGCAAGGGCTAGCTGACCTCTGATCTTGAAAACTGCTCATCAATAACAGAAGTAGAAGAAAGCAAATGAAAGAAAAAACGGGGGTACAGAGAACACCAGGTATATTAAGACAACATAGACAAAGTGAGAGGGTGGTGAACTAAGACCAGGGTGTTCCCTGAGGCCCCTACAGAGCTCTGTGTACTAGACACACTGGCCTCTCCACAAGATCTCAAGAAACAGGGAAACCTGCTTGGCCCTGAAGCCACAGGACACCACGGAAACTTGCTGTTACAACGCAATGCTATGAATGCCAGAGCCTACAGCAGAGCTCCCTCAGACTCCACAGAGAAGAGAAAGACAGAGGATCAACTAAGTGCTGTCTGGCTACAAATACCAACTTACTATGTAATAAAAACAGGATAAGCAAATGCAAGCGAATACATATCTAAACATCTACTTTCAAGATGCATTAGCATTCCTTACTTGAATAGAGAGAAAATACAATCTTATTTTACAATACTAACTAATTAACCAAATACCCAATTTCATCCATCATCTCTGATAAGATGGGCAGATGATGAAGTGAGAAGGTTAAAGTGACTAGCTTTAGAGAACCTATGGAGAAAACAAACGCAAATGGGTTTCATGTGCTGAGCCCTGACACTGGGCACCCGACACACATGCACATCGTGCACTGAACACCCACTCTAGCCTATCTCTCCTTACGACAGCATCACACAAAACATACCACACTAGGGTTGTGAGGTTATTGGGACACGGAGAACTTGAACTTTTATATTTCCTGACTTGGGCAGGCTAGGTGGCTGGGGGAACTGAGCTAAAATTTTGTGCTAATGTTATCTCAACCCAGGTTTCTGCATTTTAAGTTCAGGGAAGGTCAGATGGGGGAGATTCTCTAGGATTAAGGCCAAGTCAGAAAACCAGCTTTTCTGCACTTCAGAGCAACCGAGTATCAGGTGACTGGGGTGACAAAGGTCACATATCTCTTAGTAAGCATAATCAGCCCTAACACCTGCTGGTTTGAGGCTTTGTAGTGAAAGAAATATTTAATCTTTATCTTACCATATAGGGGTAAGCATTCTGCCACTGAGTTATGGTCCCAGCCTAAGACTTAGGAAATAAAGCTTAGAAATCGTTTTAAAAGTTGGTGTCTATGTTTAAAACAGTAAGCAGCACAGATTTCCAGGGGTTGTTTTGTCATTGAGGAGAGGGAGCCAGGCATCAGGAACTCAATATGGTCAGCTGGGGGTTGATTGCCTGTCAATAAGCATCTGGGTTACCAAGAGCAAGTTGTACCAACTACTCAAGTTTTCTCTTGCTTTTGTTATCCAGAGCATTACGAATATTTATCTTGGGGTTGGAGAGATGGCTCAGCCGCAGCAGTTAAGAGTACTGGCTGATCTTATAGCCAGTTTCCACATGGCAGCTAACAACTGTAACTTTAGTTCCAGGGGATTCAAAGCCACCTTCTAACCTCTGTGTGTATGGAATGATTGTGGCACACAGACATAAAAAACAGGCAAAATACCCATACACAAAATTAAAATAAATAAATATTTTCTTAAAAAGGTCTACATTAAATATAAATTGAAATAAAAAGAACACTGATCTAATCAGCCGCATAGTTGAGGATATAGAAAGTGTAGGTTCATTGTCAACTCAGAATACTCAGTGAGTAGTAAGTACAGGAAGCTCTAAATAAGTTAGGTCATAGAGAGGTAAGCATTCTGACTGCCAACTACAGGTGAAACATTTGATCTGTCATAGAATCCGACTCACTATAGTCTGAATGCTCCTTCCCCTAATTTGTTTATTGGGATCTTAATTCCTAACTTTGGCAGTATTGGAGACAGTACCCAGAAGTGTCTGGGTCATGGAGGTAAAGCCTTCATGAACATATCAAGCACTTGGCCCTTCTTTCATCTCTTCCACACACTCACTCTGTCTTTCCACTGTTGTATTATGAAGCAGCAAAAGGTCTCTCAACAGAAGTAGCTGCCAAATCTTGGACTTCAAGCCACCTGAACTGTGAGATAAAACTGATCTGCTTTCTGTATCAATTACCCACTCTCATATATTCTGTTAAATTAACAGAAAGCAAAGAAGACACTCAAGCTTCACTGGCAACAGATAAGTAAAACTTAAGCTGTCACCAAAACTTATCTCAACAATCACTCCTGTAACTCTGAAGACATCCACTGTAGAGAAATAAAGTCATACTTCTGAAAGTACCTAGTTCACAGAGATATGCTCATGAACACATGACTTTGCCTGTCCGAATCCTGAAGATGGGCATTTCAAGTGAGGAAATTGAAATGTAGAGTAGCTGAAATGACCTGCTGCAACAGGTGAGAATGGTTTGGAATGTGAGATTTTCTGACACTTAGTTGTCTTGTTCACTTGTCCATAATGCAGAACTGTCAATACTTGCATGAGATCACTATTGTGGAAATTGAAGACGGCACTTAGCTCCTAGAAAAGGTAAAGTCTTACAGCAGCTCAAAGACCAGGGGCCATACATCCTGACAGCACATATGCAGGATAGGTTCCATCTTGAGTCCTGCCAATCAGGTATTGACACACTCAACAGCATGGTTGAATCTTGGTTGTAGATGAGAACAAAGCAATTATTCCAAAAATAGTCACCAAAACAAGGGCAGAAGATTGCTGTGGTCTTCGGAGAAAGGCAGCGCCTCACTTCCTTCCGCAGGGACCATGCCCTTCCAACCACTTCTGTTTCTTGACACGACTAGTAACCAAGGAAGTTCTCTAATGTTGCTGCTTCTCCTTCCAGGCTAGGCTACTACTTTGTTTTCCTAGTAAAAGCTCCCCTATCCCTTTCTCAGTCTTAAAGTCTCTCCTTGCTTTGAAACAGCAAGTGTCAGGGTGGAAACAGACCCTGGCCTGGGCAGAACATGTCTGTACCAACTTCCCACTTCAGTGGGAAGTTCCTGATCTAATTCTATAGCCTCTGTCCCCTGTCCGGCTAGCCACCGAACTCTAGATCTACCCCGTCCCTCCTGCAATAGTAGGCTTTATAGAGTCACAGCCTGATCCATGATTTCTCTGCTCTCTGGCAGTGAAGACTTAAGGATGGCTGACATTCCAGCATCTTTTAGAGAAGCTGGTCAGTTGAGACAGAAAACACAAGTATGCACGCCACATCACTGACACAGAAGATCTGTACCCACAGCACTTGTGCACAATAGAGGATGACCCCTGTGCTCTTCCAGACTCAAAAACAGTATCTGAATTTGGAGCGCCTCAGATACAACAGTCAAATGTGGTTCTAGGAGGGCTGCTGGGCTAGTACCCAGTACCCAGGCAAAGAAAGCCAGAAAATCAGAGGCCATGTTCAGTGGGATGCATAAAGCAACAATGGAGCTCCTAGCATCTCAGCCTGCAAGGGTCAAATGCAGGCCTAGGAAACTATCACCTATCCGTGGGCCTGGTATGGGACCAAGGGTGCTTGTTGCAGTTATAACTGGGTCTCCAATGCTCATCCCATGCTATCAAGGCTGCACCACTGCTTGATGTGGATGTTGAGCTGCCACTGGGGTAAGCTGCCACCATGGATCCCTCTTAGCTTTTTAAGCTGACAAAGAAGACCCTGTGAGACAGGCTGTTTCATAAAGATGCTACTGCACACGCCTTACCCTGAGGTAGATCCTTAGAGCCCAGAATGAAGAAGAAAACCGACTCCTGAAAGTTGTCCTTTGACCTCCACATGCACAGCACGGCACACATGCCCACACTCATGCACACACAACTATACATACACATGTAATAAAAAAAAAGCAGCAAAGCACAGAAATATATTTTGGAAAGAAAAAAGATAAACAGGGTGAAAATGATGTCAAAGATTTATTCAGCTATGAAAACACTGCAGAATGGACTTGGGTAAAGCAGAAAGAGGAGATCACTGTCCAGTCAGGCAGGCCTGAGATCTGCTGTCCCGTAGGGGAAAACTACATGTGAACATAGATCACTGAAGCAGAAAACGCATGCTAGACTGCTGTGACAGTATGAGGGCACGGGTATAAAATATCTTGGGAAAAAATATCTTGGGACATTTTACATTTAACTTGTATATCGCATATAATAAAATATTGGAATTAATGCTGCCTCTTTCTTTTTGATGTTTAGGATACATATCCAAGAAAATTTAAAACCACCTGGATGGCTTCCATTTGAGCTGGATATTCTACTTCTGCCAGGCAGCTATGCTTTGGACTACACCCAGTAACTTCTTTAAAGATTTGTTTCTACATAGTGTCAAAGCTGTGGTCTCAGGCAAGTCTCTTTCTTTCTCCCTCTCTCTCCCCATTTCTCTCTCTCTCTATGTATGTGGATGCAAAGTAGGAATATCAATATTCATGGCATAAGAATGTCATGGGGCATATGTATGGGGTTCAAAGCACAAGCTTGGATACTGGGTATTGGTTAGTCTTCGAGTAGTTCCACTTCTTTAAGACAGTCTCTCATTGGCCTGGGATTTCACCGTGCAGGCCAGGAAAGCTTTCCTCTGAGAGTCCAGAGATCTGCGAACACCTCCACCCTTGTGTGGGCTCTGGGGATGTGAACGCAGATCCTCAAGCTCACAAGGCAAACACTTCACTGACTAAGCCACCTTCTCTACACCCCATGTGTATGTCTGTGCATGCACTTGAGAACATGCATGTGGAAGTGAGAGGTTGTGACCAGTGTTTTCTCTACCATTCCTCACCTTTTCTTTGAGACACAGTCTCTCCTCTCCCTGAATCTGGAGCTCATCAATTAGGCTGACTAGTTGAGCAATGTGCTCTGAAGATCAATGTATAGCACTGGGTTATAGACATGTGCCTGGGCTTGTTTTTACACAGGTACTAGGGTCTTGAATGCTGGTCCTCAGGTTTGCATAACAGGCACTTCACTGACTGAGCCATCTCCTTAGACTTCAGGTCTTTTAAACAAAACCCTTCCTGTGGACATCTCAGCACCTCCAGCCACAGTCAGTTTGCCATTGGCTCTGCCAGTTTTGATTTCTGTGGACTCATACCCTCCCCTCCTCAGGATAGTGGTTATGCAGAGACACTAACATCTCCACAGCCTCTCACAAGTGTTTATGTATTTGCCTTCAGAGCCTTGAATTTGCTTTTCGTTTGGCCCAAGAACTGCTGGAACACACACTGTACTAGTTTTTAATTTCCCCAAATAATACAGAAAAATAAAAAAAAAAAAAAACTTACAGGTTTTGAGATGGTGAATCCGCTGCTGGAATACACAGATATTTAACTCCCTGTGGAACAATAAAAACATATAGATGTAAATGACACTAAAAAAGATGATACAGAGTGGAGTAAAACATTAAAAGGAACCATTTACTCAGGTCAAAAAAACCCAAGAAAATAAAAAGGAGAAGTTTTTTACTCATCTTTTGTTGCCAAGGAACTGAGGAAAAGCTCTTTAATTCAGGTTCCTGATTCTTTTCCCTGGGCATGTCAATATTCATGCTTTGGTTTAGAAGCACCATATATAACACATTTAGATAAAATTTGAGGGACCAAAACAAAACAAAACAAAACAAACAAACAAACAAACAAAAAAAACAGGAGTTGGGCACTTCAGTGTCAAGGTTCACAACTGTCTTCTTAACACTTGCTCACACACTTTTTATGTTTCTTTCAGATACTGAATATCCCCAAAGGAGGCAGTGCTTGCCAGTCAACACCTTCAAAAAGGGCTGAAAACTGTGGTGTCATGCCATAGGTTTTTATGTCAATTTTAGTGTTACACTAGGCCTTTGAAACCTGGAAACAATGTTGCTTGCTTTGCAGAACTGTAAAGGTTGACTGATAAACTAATGTATTTATTTCCCCCTAATTTGAGGAAAAAAAAACTTTATCCAAAGTAATGACTCAAAATTATGCTAACCTGGAGTTTTATAAAAAGAAACAAAACTAGTTTACTTCTCTACAGGAAAGACAGACACTGTAGTTCTAAAGTCCTCAATATCAGTCGACACAGGGCACCAATCTCAACAACCTTGTGACATTGTACTTCCTAAGTCTTCCATGTCAGTCAACACAGGGCACACAGATCTCAACAACCTTGCTAGTGAAATATGGTAAAAGATAGATGAATTATTCAAAAGCTTTTCCCTGTATTTGCCAAATGCCACAGAATCTTGTCACCATGTCTTAGATACCCAGGGAGAAGAACTAATTACTGTGAGGGGCCAGCTTGATGCACAATAAGGATACAGATGTAGCCAAAGACCCTGGAAAAGGAAGTTACAAACCACCTGCTTTTTAGACTTACTTGAAGTCTTTCTGTAACTTCTACTGCTGATCCAGTCACTCCAGAGAGTCACTGGAACTACAACTGGACAGCTACAGTACAGGCATCATATCTACCTGCCCTGATGCTAGGGTACAGGCTCAAGTCCAGGCCTGGTAGTTCTGGTAAGCTTACAGAAGGTAAGTTCTGAACTAGCAGGAGGGACAGAGCAAGGCAGCTCATGCTTTGCAGAACACACTAGACCACTGTATGAGAGTGATGGGTTGGTCCTGGGACTTCAGCATAGAGCCCATTTCTCCAGCTCTCTGAGCAAACCACAAGCCTCTAACTACCTCTTTTTCATGGGCAATTTTTCTTTTTCTCCCCCCCCCCAACATTTATTTTATTCACTGTACTTCCCTGTAGCCCCTTCCCTCCTCCCCTCCCAGACCTGCCCTCTCTTCCTACCCTCTATGCTTTTCCTCAGAAAAGGGAGCTCCTTTTCTCATGCACCCCAGCTCATCAAGTTGCATGAGGGCTGAACATGTCCTCTTCCCTGTATCCTGTCAAGGCAGTCCTGCCAGAAGAAAGTGAGCTAAAAGCTAGAAAGTGAGTCCCTGTCCAATACAGTCCCTACTTCCCTTACTAGAGGACCCACTTGAAGCTTACATTGCCTATCTGCTACATCTTTGAGGAGGGCTAGGTCGAGTTCATGCATGGTCCTTGGTTGATGCTTTAGTCTCTGCAAAACCCTCTGGACCCTGGCTCTGTTGTCTTCTTGTGGAGCTCCTGTCATCTCCAGGTACTTTTCTCTTTCCTCCCACTATTCCCCAAGACTCCCTATGCAATGACCAACGTTCGGCTGTGAGTCTCAGCATCTGTTTTCAGGTACTGCTGGGTAGAGCTTCTCAGAGGGCAACTCTGACAGGCTAATGTCTGCAAGCTTAGCAGAGTGTCATTCATAGTGTCATGCTTTGGCACTTACCAACAGGGTGGGTATTTGGGTAGGCCAGGCACTGGTTGGGCATTCCCTCAGTCTCTTTTCTATCTGTATCCCTGCATATCTTGTAGGCAGGGTAAATTTTGGGTCAAAGTTTTTGTAAGTGGGTTGGTGTTCCCTGCCCTTCACTAGAAGACTAGTAGGGTTAGAGGATGTCCTCTTCAGTCTCTGTGGTCTCTGCTTGAATCCCCCTCATATCCTCCAAGCAGCCTACCCTGACTTAGGTTCTCTAGCTTGCTCTCCTCAGGACTGATCTCCACCCTATTTTAACTCTCTGTGACCCCCACTCCTACCTGTTCCCTCTTTTCACGTATTACCTCTGCCTATTCTATCTCCCCTTCTGAGTGAGTATGCATCCTCACTTTGGTCCTCCTTATTACTTATTTTCTTTGGGTCTGTGCCTCGTAGTATGTTTATCTTGTACTGTATGGCTAAAATCTACTTATAAGTGAGTATATACCATGTGTGCCTTTTTGGGTCTGGGTTACCTCATTCAGGATAATCTTGTCTAGTTTCATATATGTGCCTTCATACTTCATGATTTTCTTGTTTTTAATAGCTGAGTAGTACACCACAGTGTAAACATGCCACCATTTCTTTATCCATTCTTCGGTTGAGGATCATCTAGGTTGTTTCCCGATTCTGGCTATTACAAATAAGCTGTTATGAACATAGCTGAGCAAGTGTCCTTTTTGTATGGCAGAGCATCTTTTGGATAAATACCCAGAAGCGTTATAGCTGGGTCTTGAGGTAAAGTTATTCCCAATTTCCTAAGAAAGCTCCAGACTGATATCCAAAGTGGTTGTGCAAGTTTGCACTCCCACCAGCAATGGAGAAGTGTTCCCCTTTCTTCACACCCTCACCAGCATTTACTGTTGCTTGAGATTTTGATCTTAGCCATTATGACCAGATTGAGATGGAATCTCAGAGTCATTTTGATCTGGGTTTCCCTGAAAGGAAAGGAAGTTGAGCATTTCTTTAAGTGCTTCTCAGCCATTTGAGATTCCTCTGTTGAGAATTCTATTTAGTTCTGTGCTCCATTTTTTTAGTTGGATTATTTTGTTTATCGGTTTTTGATTTCTTGAGTTCATTATATATTGTGGATATTAGCTCTATATGTAGGATTGTTGAATTTATTTTTTCCCAATCCATAAATTATCTTTTTGTTCTATTGACAGTGTCTTTTGCCTTACAGAAGCTTTTCAGTTTCAAGAGGTCCCACTTATTAATTGTTGATCTTAGAGCCTGAGCTGTTGTGTTCTGTTCAGGAAGTTGTCTCCTGGGCCAATTAATTTGAGGCTCTTCCCCATTTTCTCTTCTAATATATTTAGTGTATCTAAGGTTATGTTGAGGTCTTTGATCCATTTGGATTTGAGTTTTGTACAGGGAGATAAATATGGATCTATTTGCTTTTTCCTACACACAGACATCCAGTTATACCAGCACCATTTGTAGAAGATGCTGTCTTTTTTTTTTTTTTCTACTGTATGGTTTTGGCTCCTTCATAAAAAACCAAATGACCATAGATATGTGGGTTTATTTATGGGTCTTCAATTCAATTTCATTGATCAACCAGTCTATCTCTATGCCAGTACCATGCAGTTTTATTACTATTGCTCTGTAGTTTAGCTTGAAGTCAGAATTGGAGATACCTCCAGAAGATCTGTTATTGTATAGGGTTGTTTTAGCTATTCTGTTTTTTGTTTTTCCATATGAAGTTTTTTTAAATTTTATTTTATTAATTACACTTTATTCACTTTGTATCCCCCCATAAGCCTCTCCCTTCTCCCCTCCCAAGCCCACCCCCCTTCCCCTTTTTCACGCATGCCCCTCCCCAAGTCCACTGATAGGGGAGGTCCTATTCTCCTTCCTTCTGATCTTATTCTATCAGTTCACATCAGGAGTGGCTGCATTGTCCTCTACTGTGGCCTGGTAAGGCTGCTCCCCACTCAGGGGGAGGTGATCAAAGAGCAGGCCAATCAGATTATGTCAGAGGCAGTCCCTCTTCCCATTACTATGTAATCCACTTGGACATTAAACTGGCATGGGCTACATCTGTGCAGGGGTTCTAGGTTATCTCCATGCCTGGTACTTGGTTGGAGTATGAGTCTCTGGAAAGGCCGCTGTGTTCCAATTTTCTGGTTCTGTTGCTCTCCTTGTGGGGCTTCTCTCCTCTCCAGGTCTTACTATTTCCCACTTCTTACATAAGATTCCATGCACTCTGCCCAACAGTTGGCCATAAGTCTCAGTGTCTGCTTTGAAACCCAGATTGCTAAAACAATCCTCTTCAATAAAAGATCTTCTGGAGGTATCTCCATCCCTGATATTAAGCTGTACTATAGAGCAACAGTTATAAAAACTGCATGGTACTGGCATAGAAACAGAATGGTGGATCAATGGAACTGAACAGAAGATCCAGAAGTAAACCCACACACTTATGGACACCTGACCTTTGACAAAGATGCCAAAACCATACAATGGAAAAAAAGATAGCATCTTCAACAAATGGTGCTGGTCTAACTGGATGTCTACATGTAGAAAAATGCAAATAGATCCATACTTATCACCCTACACAAAACTAAAGTCCAAGTGGATCAATGACCTCAACATAAAACCAGACACATTAAACCTGTTAGAAGAAAAAGTGGGGAATACCCTAGAACTCATTGGTACAGGAGACAACTTCCTGAACAGAACACCAACAGCACAGGCTCTAAGAGCAACAATCAATAAATGGGACCTCATGAAACTGAAAAGCTTCTGTAAAGCAAAGGACACTGTTGTCAGAACAAAACGACTACCTACAGATTGGGAAAGGATCTTTACCAACCCTACATCTGACAGAGGGCTAATATCCAGTATATATAAAGAACTCAAGAAGTTAAAAAGCAACAAATTAAGTAATCCAATTAAAAAATGGGGAACAGAGCTAAACAGAGAATTCTCTGTAGAGGAATATCAAATGGCAGAGAAACACTTAAAGAAATGTTCAACGTCATTAGCCATTAGGGAAATGCAAA